CCTGTGACCAAGGCTACTCATTAGAAGGACCTGAGCTGCTGACATGTGATCGTCATGGCAACTGGACTGCAGAGAAACCCACCTGTCAAGGTAAATGAGCAACAACAGATCAAATGGTACACAAAATGTAAATGTGCACACTTACAAATCTCTGTTCAAAAGTTCACATTATTCACGTTTCACAATGTTTCCACAGCTCCTGCTCCAGTAGCTGCAGTTACCGTCGGTGTGGCAACAGGGGGCACTGCCTTGTTCTCTGGTGTGTCTATGGCTATGTGGCTCTTAAAAAAAATGAAGAAGAAAGCTGACGCATATGAGCTGAGCAGGTAAGAGAAGGAGTCACCTCTTTGTTTCCTTCATCTTTCCTTTGAAGTTTGTTGTCTTATCCTCTCCTCTCTTTTTTCACAGCAACTCTGACATAGAGTCGTCCCCACAGAGCTACAAAAACAGCACTGACAGCCTAATATAGAAGACACTTCTCTTCCTCTAAGACAGCTACAGACAGCTGTGAATTTCACCACAGAAATGCAAAAAGTACACATGATATGCACCAGCATAACAGATGGGAATAAACAGCCATACTAAATGTGACAAGGAGTGACATAATGTGACATTAAAAGATCTGCAATTGCTCTGAAATGTTGTTCCAACATGTATTTCCTCCAGAATGGAATTTCATATTGAACATATTGTTCTAAAACTTCATGAAAATGCTGGAACGGTGGCACGATTCATGTCACCGTAAATGTTACACAACGTTATGTGTGAATTGTCATTTAGCTGCACAAATGTGAATAATTTGATATGTATTTATTTACTATTTATTTTACAATAGGATAGTTCCAATTGAATTTTTATTTTATTGTTTTTATGTATAAAGTTTTCTTTTACCTTCACTGTTTTTTTTATACTATGAAATTTTACAGTTGATGTTTTATGAAATTCTGGAATATATGCAAACCTAATAAACCTTTTTGGATAAAAATATGAAGAAAAATGTCTTTGTTTGCTGTTGGCACGTTCACTTTTCTTCATCAGGAGTAATAATAATAGTTCAGCTGTGTCACCACATTGCTGCAAATGCGTAGCCAAGCAGGATCTATTCCAGGCTCATGTGGAGCCAGGATTTAAAAATTGACTCATCAGTTCTGCCCATCATCAACCTGATCTCGCAGTTTCACAGTGACCTTCTGCCACCGTGTGTTTTTTTTAAGGGCTAAACAAGAATGTCTCTCTTCTCCCTCATGAAGGTCATTAGCAGTTATTCAAGGAAGGAAGAACTGTTTTCCTGTGTGTTTCATTTCCCCATTTGCTCATTGTTTGTTTTAATAAACTGATTGTTATCTGTGCACTTTAGTGGTGCAGGAAAAGGACCTAATATCTTACATAAGGCTGAAGGTGACAACATGTGCCGTGTATTGTTATGAACATCCACTTATTGTATGATTTAAAAAAAGGGAAACTTACAAAAGCCTGACACTGATTTTTAATTGTGTTTAAAACACACACTTATTTTACTGCTGTAACACCTTTTTTGTTTATATTTGAGTTGATTAGAAAAGCAAATGTTTAACTGAAGTAGCAGCTTGTGTTTACAGGTTCACAGAGCATTTTATGGTGTTATTATAAAGATAAGTCAGGATTTTCTTATTCAGTCCTTTTCATCATGATCTTCATTGTTACTTATGAGAAGTACTGTTAGTCTTAACTATTGTTGTTATTTTTTACTTGCAGATGACAGATAATAACAGCACGTGGATCAGTAACAATTCAAGGGCCCTGTATGAATCAAATAATATCCACTCTACAGATATGTGTGTGGAGATGTACACTAACCCAGGAAAAAATAGGAGGAAGTTGAATGATAGAAGTGTAT